CCCCGGGGGGATGTGCCAGGGGAGCCTCTGGAGGATGATCTTGGGGGATGACCAAGGGGGGAGTCCCCAGGGGGAATTTCCAGGGGGATTTTCCAGGGGGATGCTCCAGAGGAGCCTCTGGAGAGATGCTCTGGAGGGGGAATCCCTGGAGAGATGCTCAGGAGGGATATTTCAGGCCCCAGGGGGATGTTCCAGAGGAGCCTCTGGAGGGATCATCTTGGAGGATGACCCAGGGGGGATTTTCCAGGGGGATACTCTGGAGGAGCCTCTGGAGAGAAGCTCAGGAAGGATATTCCAGGAAGGATGCCCCATGGGGATGTTCCAGAGGAGCCTCTGGAGGGATCATCTTGGGGCATGACCCAGGGGGGATTCCCCAGGGGGGATTCTCCAGGGGGATGCTCCAGGGGGATGCTCCAGAAGATCTAGAGGTTTGCTGTTGGAGGGTGACCCAGAGGGATGCTCCAGGGAATGCCCTTCTCTCCCAGGGGTGGGAGCAGAGCAGCTGAGGATGCTGAGCCAGAGCCCCATGGCTCACCCACATCTCACCTTTCACTTCCCCCACCCCACAAACACCCCCAAAGTACCTTGGGGAAGGGGGGGGAGGGGCAGGGGGTGAAGGCAACAGGAGGACCCCAAAGACCATTTTCCCAATGTTTTCCCCCCCCAAAAAAGACCAACTCCCAGGAGATCCAGCCAGGACGACGCTCCCCTCAGCAGGGCTCAGGGGGCAAGAAGAGCTGTTTCCCAGGTGGGGACCCCCTTGTAGACCCCCCCCAAAGTGTGTCCCCCCAGGTGTCCCTCACCTGGGCAGCGATAGAGCTTGCGGGCCTGGGCAATGTCCCCTTTGCTGAGCCTTGTCCTCTGCCCGATGGCAGGACGGACCCCGTTGATGTCGTACTTGGGCAGGATGGTGTCCAGGAAGATGCCCCTGGGGTGGGAGGAGAAGCAGGGAGAGGTTGAGCAAGGGCTGGGAAAAAAAACAAACCAACCTCCAGGCTTGAGGTTGCAAGCCACATCGGGATGGGGGGGGATGTTTGGTTAATTAACCAGCTTGGTTAATGAAAGGCTGAAGGGTGGGGAGTCAGTGGGGATGTGTCCCCAGCAAGGGTAGAACTGACCCTGCTCTGAGCAAGGGATTCCATGAGGTTTCCTCCTGGAGATGGGAATCTTGGGTGTTAAACCCCTGCTGAGGGGCCACCATCCCCCCCCCTGGGGCTGGGGACCCCGTGTCTGTGTCCCCAGCACTGGGGGGGAGGATGGGGACCCCGTGTCCCCAGCACTGGGGGGACGGTGGGGACCCCGTGTCTGTGTCCCCAGCACTGGGGGGGAGGATGGGGACCCCGTGTCCCCAGCACTGGGGGGACGGTGGGGACCCCGTGTCTGTGTCCCCAGCACTGGGGGGGAGGATGGGGACCCCGTGTCCCCAGCACTGGGGGGACGGTGGGGACCCCGTGTCTGTGTCCCCAGCACTGGGGGGGAGGATGGGGACCCCGTGTCCCCAGCACTGGGGGGACGGTGGGGACCCCGTGTCTGTGTCCCCAGCACTGGGGGGGAGGATGGGGACCCCGTGTCCCCAGCACTGGGGGGACGGTGGGGACCCCGTGTCTGTGTCCCCAGCACTGGGGGGGAGGATGGGGACCCCGTGTCCCCAGCACTGGGGGGACGGTGGGGACCCCGTGTCTGTGTCCCCAGCACTGGGGGGGAGGATGGGGACCCCGTGTCCCCAGCACTGGGGGGACGGTGGGGACCCCGTGTCTGTGTCCCCAGCACTGGGGGGGAGGATGGGGACCCCGTGTCCCCAGCACTGGGGGGACGGTGGGGACCCCGTGTCTGTGTCCCCAGCACTGGGGGGGAGGATGGGGACCCCGTGTCCCCAGCACTGGGGGGACGGTGGGGACCCCGTGTCTGTGTCCCCAGCACTGGGGGGGAGGATGGGGACCCCGTGTCCCCAGCACTGGGGGGACGGTGGGGACCCCGTGTCTGTGTCCCCAGCACTGGGGGGGAGGATGGGGACCCCGTGTCCCCAGCACTGGGGGGACGGTGGGGACCCCGTGTCTGTGTCCCCAGCACTGGGGGGGAGGATGGGGACCCCGTGTCCCCAGCACTGGGGGGACGGTGGGGACCCCGTGTCTGTGTCCCCAGCACTGGGGGGGAGGATGGGGACCCCGTGTCCCCAGCACTGGGGGGACGGTGGGGACCCCGTGTCTGTGTCCCCAGCACTGGGGGGGAGGATGGGGACCCCGTGTCCCCAGCACTGGGGGGACGGTGGGGACCCCGTGTCTGTGTCCCCAGCACTGGGGGGGAGGATGGGGACCCCGTGTCCCCAGCACTGGGGGGACGGTGGGGACCCCGTGTCTGTGTCCCCAGCACTGGGGGGGAGGATGGGGACCCCGTGTCCCCAGCACTGGGGGGACGGTGGGGACCCCGTGTCTGTGTCCCCAGCACTGGGGGGGAGGATGGGGACCCCGTGTCCCCAGCACTGGGGGGACGATGGGGACCCTGTGTCTGTGTCCCCAGCACTGGGGGGACAATGGGGACACCCTGGTGGCCACCCACCTGGAGAAGGTGTTCCTGGCGTAGTGCATGATGCTGTCAAAGTCGTAGGTCTCCCCCAGGGACTCCACCTCTTCTGGTTCCATCTTCAGGAAGTTGTACTCCTGCCCTGAGGAGGCAGAGGGGACGGGGACAAGGTCAGGGAGGGATGGGGAGGGCATCAGGGGTGATTGGGGTGGCATCAGGGGGGGTTCCCCTGGCTTTGGCAGCATAGGAGGGAGGGAAGGGAGGAGGGAAGGAAGGAGGGAAGGAAGGAGGGAAGGAGGGAAGGAAGGAAGGAAGGAAGGAAGGAAGGAAGGAAGGAA